GGTTTCTACTCAGGTGCCTGAAATAATACATAGAAGGGCAACTGAGGTGTACCTCCACCAGTAAAGCTGGAACGTCGCCATATGACCTATAATGTGTGTCGGTGTGACGTAAAACCCAATTAAACAAACAAACAAACTTACGAGCATGAGAGATGTTATTCATGTCATTTTCTCTCTGGAACATACACAAGAACCATATTTGCGATTGACACTTATTATTGACACTTACTTTTTTAATATATGTCAATATAACTTAAATGTCCAAACGTTTTAATTCATTTAAATATTTTGCCAGCGGCTTTTTTTCATTCTTCAAATGTAAAAGAATCTGGTAAGTAAGAGAAACGTATTTTGAATTAGGTTCATGATCAACACTGTTATTCAAAATTTAACATTTCCATAGAATAAAGAATGGTGTAAAGAGAAACAAATCAAATCTTGAAAGAAAGTATTCTGCTGGCTTCATGGATTTAATGAACTAAAGTTCGCATTCAGTTGCCGTTTAAGACTGAATTATTTAATTGGTTATGATTTTACTTATTTGTATTTATTTTCTATTTAAGGAACTTGCGAATGTAACCCTGGGTTTGGAGGAGATGATTGTTCAATTGATTTCAAACAGGCACCATCTACTGCAAGTTTCCTTCACGGGAGCGTCTGTGATGAAAAAGAAGCGCCATGTACACATGTATTCATACACGGGGGCTTATTTGCAAGCGAAACCGTTTCTTGTCATATAACAACATTTGAGGTCAGTAAATCACGTTACGGTATAATGATTATAAGATTATATGTTTTTGTTACCTACCTAAAATCTCAGCATACGTTATTATGTGCTGTATGTCATGGCTATTCATATCAAATTCATTGAAAGTATTTAGAAATAAGATAAAAAATCTCGGTTGTAATAAAACATCACACTATTACTGGATAATGACCAATTTCTGTAATAATGTTGATATACGTTCAGTTTATCAGAAGTAAGGATGAAAACACACAGCCTTCGGCTAAAATAATAATCATTATATTATCTACGTTTAAAACGCGTCATTTAACCATATTGCAATAATAGAGGCCAAATAGTGCTGATAAAACATTGTATTACGCGTTAAGATTATGTCGCGACATTGGCATGCAAAATAACTTTAGTTATGTCACAAACATGAAGAAGAAATCAATATCGCATTTATAACTTATTATTACGATAAAACTTTTTTTATATATTATCAGTTTACCTTTGAAAACAAGCATAAAAAACACAGTTTGCTCATTTAACGATATCTGATAAGTTATAGATTATGTAAAAGAATCTGGTAACCTAATATAGATTATAATTAGAATACCCAATCAAAAACGAATAACTTCAGCAGTTTCTTGTTTAGACACATGCTGGTAAAGCAGGCCGACATAATCTCGACGCATACGTTATAAGAGGTCAAGCACAATCATTGATTGAAGTTATATGTCCACTGACCACACCAATCAGAAGGAAGAGATCTGTTCCTAACACACAAGACGTAAAGCTTCTATCGTGCTACAAAGTTGCTGTTAGTAACGACGGTATACATCATGGGTCTCCAATATCTATGTGTGTATACAATTCCAAGTGCCAGTCCTTAATCAACGATAATAATGGTTTACTCACAGCAAAAATAAAAGTACGTCAATTTTTGTATTGAAGTAATTACTTATTAGCTGATTGTTAGTTATATCATATGTTGTTGTTTTTTTTCTCGTTTTCCTCGTTTTTCAATTCAACATACTATTTTCTGCATATACCTTCAAATAAGAAAACAATGTCTGTTATTGATGCTTCATGATTTCAAAATTAGAACAATTGAAAAGTGGTTCACTGATGTATCATTCATAGCATGATTAACATTGCATTAAGCAATTCAAAATATTTATGAAATTGAGTTAAATGTAAATGTTTATGAACAATAGTTTCCATAAGTACTAGTTGTCATACTATACAATACTTAATGCGTCTTTAACACTGCATTCATTTATTTCAGGGTTTGTTAATATTTATGGCATTTGAATTCCATAAAGCAATTTGTTCACCAATTTTAAATTGTTTTTACCGATGTAAACAATTAATAGACCATAACCATTAATATTAATAAACATATCAAAATGAAAAATCTGTGTAGTCATATGGACACACTGCATGTTTTTTTATCTTTAGAGAGGGTTTTGCTACATTGGTGGAAAGTGTGTTCCAAGTAATGAGCGGGAGCCGTCATCAGAAACATACTGCTTTCCTTCATTATCTCTCTATAGTTGGTCAGGTAGAACATGTGTTTATCATCATAGAAGTAAAAGATTGATAATGTATTGAAGAATATTTTACATACTTTTCAAATTATCTTAGCCAAATTTCATTTAAATCTTCAGTACGAATTTATAAATGTTGTACGTACAGTTTGTTAAGACAAAATAAGTAAAATATCTCAGGTACTATAGAAACCTTGTAGATGTATCAGGAGATAATTACATTTTTCATCAATGTCAATTTCAGAGTTGCCAACTTCAACGGAAACTTCTTCAACTGTAATGTCATCTGCGTCCGGTGTTCCAATCACCCACAATACTGATAATACCTGGCACACAACTGTAATTATTGCAGCCGTGTGTGTTTGCTGCCTTTGTCTGATTGTTGGAATAGTTGTCTACATCCGGAAAAGAAAACAAAGGTTTTCAATTATATAGTTGTTAAAATTTAAAGTTACACTAACAGATATTTTTTTTTATTTCTGTCAAAGGCTTAAAACTTTCATTGTTATCCTTGTTTTCAACAGAAAGCATGAATATAGTTGACTGGATTAGAAATGTTTATAAAACCAATATACTTAAATTTAACCTCACTCATCGAAGGGGAACAAATCAATACAAGAGTTGACTGTTTATCTGACCTTAGACAATTTAGTAGGTCACAAGGTTCATTATGAACTTTGACAAGCGGACAGATCTTGAAAGGTACAAAGATACACAAAACTTACAGGAATTCGTGTAATAAGAAGAAAAGTGAGATGGGACATCATATGGCCCTAGCACTGCCTTCAGCGGCACTTTTCAGTCTTTAATACTTAATGTAACCTGAGCATAAACATCTATTTAACATATTAAACAGTCTTACACTGTACAATTATTATTTTCTTTCATTTCAAAAAAATAATGCATATATTTGATAGCAAGAAATATTTTCGATCCTGAAAGATCGTCCAGCCCGACTTTTTTGTAGTTTATTCATGTTTGTGGTACCTTTAGTTAGTTCTATTTGGTATTTTTGTAATTGGGTGGTTTTAGTATTCCTACTTGAAAACTGCATAATCACCATAATCAGAATATGTTGCCTAATTTTAAATTTGTCTTTCGACAGCTTATCTGTGATTTGCAGGCTTTTTTAAACCTGTGATTCACTTTCAAAATTCCATTTTATTTACTTCCGCCTATTGTTTTCTCTATAAGGGCACATATATTATTTTACTTGGGGACCATACGCCGCTTTTCATGGAATTGCTCGAACGTGTCACATTGAGGTTTTCTTGATAACCGCCGTATAAACACATCTGCGGATATTTCTAAATGTTAAAAGTCACCATTTTCATGTTCTGCTTAATCAGATGCTGGGAGAGAGGGGTCGTGGATACCACTACCTTTCATGGAGAGGCTCACTCAAAGCGAACCTACAGCATTTTAAAGTTAGCCGTTTTGAATGTTCTTTAGGGATTCTATTCTTATCTTTTTTGTTCGTAAATAACGCAATGTGTGTTCAACGAAACGTTTGTTTCAAACATGTTGTATCAAATATCCATTATTCAAGAGTATGATATTTATGACAAGTTATTATGAAACTAGTTTGATATGTAATGTTATATTTCATTAGGAAAACAGTAGACGGCAAAAAGGAGAAAGAAGGGCTTGAATTACCTAAAGAGCACGATGCAGATTTTGACGAGGAAACATACGCTCATATAAACCCGATAGACGTCACTGGCCACGTGTCCTATGGCGTTAAAACATTGAACCTGAACAGTGACGTAGGCAACGACTATGCACGCTTAGATACGACAAAGAAAGAAAAAGTCCAGTATGCCAAGCTTAACGCGACACAGATTATCAAACGTGAAAACAACGGACCCATGCTGCCGGATAGGCCATGTGCTAATCCTGAAGATCCTTATGAGAAACTTCGGTCTGAAAATAGAGATCAACGGGACTACGAAAAAATGAAAAATAACTACCGAAACCTGAATGCGTATAATAGACCAACCAATCCCCGTGGAGATCGTAACTCTTTTGACGAAAGTAATGAAATAACATTCAAATTGGACAACAACCAGGCAAGGTATCTCGCTCCTACAAGAGGGTTTGATGGGATTACACGAAATGTTCAAATAAATCTGACTGAAAATGGACAAAGAAATGATGATGTTTTGGAAGGATTGGAAGGATATGAGCGCCCCGACCCATTGTACAAGCGATACTAGTATTGCGAAGATTTTACACATGGAAACTATAACTGCATTTATAAAAATACTTTTATACTAACCATCATGTTTGGTTAAATATTTCACATGAAACGTGCGTTTCACGTTGTCCGTTTTATCTGTTTTATAGAGGAACAAAGAGTGAAATAATAATCTTCAAATTATTTTTTTAACATTTTAAATTATACCAGATTTACTGGAAGATCTGAAGGAATGTCTAAAGTATGCATCATATGATTAATACATTTCTGAAATTACATTGTCTATGTATTTAATTTTCAGTAAATGAAATGATGAGAAATTCTTACAATATGTTGTTTTATAAAATTGTGTTAAAGTGTGTCTGTATGTTGTAAGGTAAGTTCTTTCACCATCAAAAGGAAAGCACTAATTACAAATTACTGACTGTTAAAAGAAACACAAAATTCCTCATATGATTTAAAGTCACAAAGAAGGTAGTAAACATTAAGTAAACATATGATTTTTTGACTGATGGTTGATTTTTTACTTTGACCATGAATAGGCCAAATCAAACTGAGCCTGCAATATTTTACCGTTTCTGTCATAAATACATTATTCTTAATTAATCGTACTGCCAGAAGAAAATTGTGTATGATAACATACTGATTGACTACGACATGTTTATGACAAACTCTTTTTTTATTTACTTTTTTGTCTAGACACATCAGGAGGTAAATCACCAATTATTTCGACTACTTAAACCTCAAGGTTGAAAAGAAATATATTAAATGTAATATCTGTACAATCATATCCCTTGTTTTAAAGAGAAATGCAATCTTGTAAATTGAAATCTTTTCAAACACACCTGACTATTTAATAATGGCATATATTAGATGATAATGCATGACAACGAAATAGCTGGCAGCTGAAGTCCGCTCGTATACAAACAACCTGTTATTTTACAGTATTTGATAAAACAGCTAATATACTGAAAAAAAGATACAATACTCTTGGCAAGCGTATATTGTCCCCGTAGACTGGCCCATATCCCAAAGAAATTTATGCAGAAATATAATACTTACGGCTATTTCCTTTTTTGAATTGAGCATTTATTTCTTGGCAATGATGACGAAAGTGACGTAACGGGCACGTGGTAGTGCTACACTGACATTGTAATTTCAGACCAAGACATGCATTTTAAAGACATTTAGAAATGGCGCATGTAATAAACCTACGCTCTTCATTTCCTTGAATTTAAAGGATGTAAAGGCCCACACGTAGAAAGCAAACAGCACATGCAAGTAAATTACCAAAAAATGGCGTCGAAATAAGCAAAAATATTCCTTACTACGTAACTAACGCTTAAGGAAAAAGGTGTTAAATACTGTAACACCAGTCCTTTAAGTAAATTATTACATTAATCTTATAATTTTTACTTTTCTTGACAAAAGAGCTTTGAAAATATACGAGTAAATATTGCATACCATCACATAAATCTCAGTATACATTGTTAATTGTTTTTGTCAATGTTATGATTGTGATAACATTGCATTTAAGAACCTTAAAAATGAATTTAATACTTTTAAACTTAATTAATCAGTTGTTTCCCTTTATTAACATTGTGTGTTTTTCTTGTAAACCGGCACTGTACAAAGTTATCTGGCGATTGGCCAATACGCTTGTTGAATAGTGTTCTAATATGAACGAATTCAAAGTCCCTGACATGATTCAAACTCACAACTGTGAGGGGCTAGTGATTAGTAGTCAGTCACATGACCTGTACTATTCTTAAGGCCTATATCATTTATAACATTCTAAATGTGGGGATTTTAAAACGACACTGAATGGTGAAAAATGAAAATGCAAAACAAAACAAAATTAAAAAAAACAACAACAAAAAACAACAAAAAAAGCAACAACAACAAAAAAAGAGTTTTCGATCGAAGAGTTTTTTATGTTTTTATGCCACCGCAGCATCTGCGATGCGGTGGCATATAGCGATTCACCTGTGTGTTTATATGTGTGTATTTGTGTTATATAGATAATATAGTGAACTTAAAAATCTTCTTGTGAAAAACCACTAGTCAAATTTCAACCAAGCTTGGCAGGATTGATCCTTGGGTAAAGGGCTTTCAAAAGTTTTTCAAAGAATTTCATTCTATGCAGAAATCCGGTTGCTATGGCAACCAAAAGGAATTATAAGAATAAATTTTAAAAATCTTCTTGTAAAGACCCACAAGGCCTAGAGCATAAGGCATTGTCTGTTAGGCCTCTACCAAGATTGTTCAAATTATAGCCCTGGAGTCAAAATTGGCCCCGCCCCGGGGATCATTAATTTTCACTATATATACATATAGTAAAAACTAAAATACTTAAGTTCTTGTCTGAAGGTACAAGGCTTAGAGCTTTGATATTTGGTATATGATATCATCTATAGATACTCTACCAAAGTTGTTCAAATTTCTTGTCTGAAGGTACAAGGCTTAGAGCTTTGATATTTGGTATATGATATCATCTATAGATACTCTACCAAAGTGTTCAAATTTTGCCTCTAGCGTCAAAATTAGCCCCGCCCCGGGAGTCATATGTTTTCCTTTTGTTTTTATAATAGTAAAACCTTAAAAAATCATCTTCTCTAAATTGACAAAGGCTAGAGGTTAGACATCTTGCATGAAACATTGTGTAGTAAACCTCTACCAAGATTGTACAAATTATAGCCCTGGAGTCAAAATTGGCCCGCCCCGGGGGTCATTAATTTTCACTATATGTACATATAGTAAAAAAATAAAAATCTTATGGTCTGAAGGTACAAGGCTTATAGCTTGATATTTGGTATATGATATCATCCATAGGTACTTTACCAAAGTTGTTTAAATTTTGCCCCCAGTGTCGAAATTAGCCCGCTCCGGGGGTCAGAGGTTTTTCTATATGATTATTCAAATTAGAGCCCTGGGGTCAAAATTGGCCCCGCCACGGGGGTCATTGATTTTCAGTCACATATAATGTACATATTGTAAAAATTTAAAATATCTTTGCCTGAAGGAACAAGGCTTAGAGCTTTTATATTTTGTATATAATATCATCTGTGGGTCCTCTACCAAAGTTGTTTTAATTATGCCTCTGGTGTTAAAATTGCTCTGCCCCAGAGGCGATAGTTTTCCCTATATGTATATACTTAAAACTTGAAAAATCTTCTTCCTTGAATTGACAAAGGCTAGAGGTTACTAATAGATATTTGGCACTTTGTGTAGTGAACCTCTTCCAAGATTGTTGAAATTATAGCCCTGGTGTCAAAATTGGCCCCTCCCCGGGGGTCCTTGATTTTGATCATGTACATATAGTTGAAAATATAAAAAAAATCTTATTGTCTATGTACACATTTTATTTGTAAAATTGAACTGTGGTTCCAGGTGACATAGATTTTGATGATGTGGCCTACGTTTTGTCCTTTAATGTGCAGCTATGAAAATTGAACCATGTGCACAGATTAAGATGTAAAGTGAACTTTGATATCAGCTGGCCTAGATTTTGACAAAGTGTCTTACTGTGTTGTCCTTTGATGTACAGTCATGGAATTTTGGCCATGTGAAATATGACCTTCATCACCAACTTCACTATTTAGTGTTGTATTAATGCGGTGGCATAGCGTTTTTCACAAATGCAATTTTGTTTTGATTATCTATTTGGTTTTACATTATTTGCAAGTACATTTCTAATGACTGTGAATATCGTTATTATATATGCTCTATAAAGTGTCATGTTGATATCTCTTATAGTTTCAGAGTTATTTCCGGACAAAGTTCAAACTGTAAAAATAAACAAAGGGCAATAACTCCAAAATTAGGCAAGGCAGAGTTATGGTTCTTTTGCACTGCACTTTTACCTAATAAGATCTAACTACGTAGTACAAAGTTTCATGTTTATACCTCTTATTGTTTAAGAGTTCTATCTCGGTGAAAGTTCAAAGTATAAAAATGAACAAAGGCCAATTACTCCGAAATTTGGCAAGGCAGAGTTATGTTTCTTGTTCGCTGCATCTACTTACAAAGTTTCTTGCTGATGCCTCTTGTTGTTACAGAGTTATGTCCCAGACAAGAAACGCGGACAGACGGACGGACGGACGGACAAATCGGCGACTATATGTTCACCCTTTGGAGAGCATAAAACTATTACTTAACAATACTAGAAAAAATTAATTGAAAAATATATCAAGTTAAACCCGTCATAAATACATATCAGATATATCATAAACATGACAAAAATGTCACAAACTGATGATTTAATTACAAGTGTCTTTAAAAAGAAGAAATGCAATTCGATTAAATTTGTTCTTATTTTCTAATCTGCCCGTCTTCCCGGTCTGTCCCACGCTTATGTCCGATGCCCAACTGGATGTATTTCCAATGGCCATATGTGACTGGGCGTTATTTGAAGATACGTTTCATGAATTAATATTTTCAATGTCATGAAGGTTTTAAAAGTATAAGTATATTTATAGAGATAAGTTTCTAAGCAGTATAATGCCATCGCTGTTACGTTTCACACAGTGCTTCAGCAAATTTTTAAACATATTGTAAACTCAATCAGCTACATATATAGAAACCAACTCAGACAGTAATCTACAAAATTATCAACTGCTGTCACTCAAATGCCAGTTGATCAAAAGATAGATCAGCACATATCAGGTTTTGTTTTGACAGGCTTTTGTATGAGGATCCGGTTTTTAGCGTTCTTTACAAATTCAGTTTTTCTCTATTTTAAAAAAGTTCTAAGACACGTTATTAAGCCAGTTGCAGACGACGGTTACTTAACTAACACAAGTTTATGCCATATATCTGATAAGGTCATGTGGATTTATACACTTCACTTTTTGGCAATGGATTGATGTATATAAATCGTATATAATATTGCCTCATTAAGACTTATGTGGTCAGTCTCACTAATGGATGTATTTTCACTTGATCTGACTATTAATCTAAAGTTTTATAACACATTGTCTAAGAAACTGCTCACGACAGTACACCAATATAAAAATATTTTGAATTAAGCTTTTTAACACCAGGGGAACAATGAATTTTAGGTAAAACATTTTGACATATTTCAAAGCTTTTTCTTGCCGTATGATATATTTTAACATAGTAAAACACATTAATTTAATTGATATAACTATTCAAACATTACAAGGTAATAATTTTTACGTTGTTAATATGTTCACATGAGGTACGAGTATTAAAAAGATATAATGTAATAATTTTTTATTAATAGATTTCGGTTCCAGCAGGGTAATGGTAAAAAATGAAACATATTTTTGCTGAGTGTCATATCACTTCGAAATGATTATTTCAAATGTATTTTAATTTATTTTCTATTTATATATTTCAAATACCACAGACATCAAAATTATGCAAAC